ACTTACAAATCCAGAATTTGTACAAATATTTCTCAATCCAAAATTTAACTACTGAAAAAAAGACTTTTCAATGAAACATCCATGTGAATGAGCACCAGGATGTTTTCAATGAGTGGCTTTAATATGCTAATCTTTTTCTTCCACTACTCAAGGAGCTCTTGCCAAGCTCTCAGCTAAAAGTGTAGAGGGACAAAAGTTTAACTTCATACAGGTTCACATTAAAATCTATTATTTAAAGCTGATTGTAAAAACCATGTTAATGAATTTATATGATGACAGCCGCAACTTGTGCACCATAATGTCCGCAGACTTTCAGCAAAGTTATTCAAACAACTCCATACACCTGCTTTCTATCATTACTCGTCCAAATTGGTTGCTACGGTTACCAGTACTACTGTTTGGTGAAAACTATATACTAACTGCACGTGCACAATTGTATGTGTGTTGATGAAGTTAATTATTTCATAAACAATGTGTTGAATGTGTGAAACACTTGTCGAGTTTACTGTGAAAGGTCGTCATTGTTTCTCAGTTGAAAAGAAGGAATTCACTGGACTTTGTCACAAAGATTAAAGGCTCACAAACGCTAATGAGCACTAATGTCACACACTGTGTAATGAGGCCTTCAAGCACATGAGAAATTCCCGTCCACACCCCGTTTAGTCTGCCTCAGTTTGTTTTGTGTAAATTGAATTACTGAAAAATGATACAGGATGTGACAACTGTGGAGGTTTGAATTATACATGAAGAATTCTGGCTAACTTGGCTCCATCCCATGATCGTAACTGCGCAGACTCAAGCTCCAAATTATTTCAAAAGTGCAAGATGGCGCCGCTCTTATCCCAGAATTTTTGGCTTCATTTTTGCACAGTGGAAGGAAGTGGAGATGTGTCATCCATCTTTATGTACAGTTTAATTTTGGGACTAAATTGAAAAACAAACGAGATACTGAACTATTCTTATGTCAGAATGTACATTTTTGCTTTTCCTTTTGTTTATGTCATCTTTTTTGGAGAACAAAATCTTTTGGGTTGTATGAGAATATTTTTGAGCTAAGTGAAAATGTGACTGCAGGGGTCGTCTACTCACCCAGAGGCAATGAGGGCGCGTGACTGAGCCATGGCGATACGCTGCAGTGCCGGTCGGCTCAGCCCTGCTAGGCTGGACCGGGGCGGCAGAGGCGCCGCGCAGGCAGCAGCACCGGATGTAGACACTGGGCCCAGGACGCGGGCAGAAGGCGAGGGCGTGCAGGTGGAGGCAGCCGTAGAGATGAGTGTGGTGCCCGCTGTGGGGGCAGGACAGGAAATGGAGAGCGAGGCAGAAGGGTGAGGGGCAGAGGTGGCGATAGATGACAACGAGGTGGCTGGTGGTGGTGGAGGAGGCGGGGGTGGGGGCAGAGGTGGAGGAGGGGGCCTGGTGGAGGAGATGGAGAGGGCTGCGGTGGCCGAGCCGAGGAGGGAAAGAGAGTGAGTGAAGCCTCCTCCAAAGCCGAAGTTGGCATTGCTGATGCCGCTGCCCCCGACGATGCTCACACCTCCAGGACCACCCATACCACCCACACTGAAGCCCCCTGTCGCCCCAACTATAGACGTCCTGTTTGGGGAAAGTGATCGGGACAGGGTAGGTGGCCGAGGAAGGGTCAGTGAATACGACCCTCCTGGGACAGGGTGGCTGCTGATTTTGGGACTGGGTGGTTTGGTCAGTGGTGGTCTTCGACCCAGAGTGTGAGTGGTTGACATGGTGCCCGCTTTGACACTCAGCACCAGCATACACTGCTGACAGGCGCAGGGCTGTCCCAGAGAGGTGATGGCTGAAGCAGGGAGAGCGCCGCTAGGGTACGCACTCCCGTTCCCATTCCCACTGCTGCTCATCCTGAGCCCCATACCCACTCCAGACACGTCCACACCGAGCAGTCCTCCGTGGCTGGGCATTGACGCCGGCCCCCAGGCATGATGGGATTTGGGCAGGGGCCCGGACACCAACGGGTAAGCCAGGTCAGAGCGACGCTGGATGCGCCGGCAGCGTTGCGTCTGCCCGTTTATTTGGGTCATGCTTTCGAAGTCAATAAGGTAGCAGAAACCCAGCGGCGCCAGGTCCAGCCAGGGCTGCTGACGATCTCGTGCCGCCTGGATGGCGATGCCCACGTCCGTGTCGTACGCCGTCCAACTGCCAGCGTCGTTCTCCCACTCCCACAACCAGCCTTGGCCTGGCGCTGAGGTGGGGTCGTAGAAGCTACGTCGTACCGCTCGAAGGGTACCTGAGGAAGAGGTCAGAGGTCATGACATAATTAAAAGGTTGCATGCACATTATGAAGACTGTGAATGCAGCTCTGCAGATTTCTACACACTTTTACTGGAGATATAAAGTTTGAAGCTGCTCTATGATGAGAGGTGGATGTGAGTGGAGGTGAGCGCCTCCACTACTATTTGCTGTGGACAAGTAGATTACAACCCTAACAAATTCAACATGTCTGCGTTTGCTTGCTAGGAATTTGGGCAAACAGGTTGCCCCTGGTAACAGCACACTGTGTTCTGATTTCTGATTGGCTGGCAGCCTTGATCCGAACCAAAGCTGCCTGTGTTTGCTTTCCCAGGCTGTCTAGAGAAACTCCACTTCTAAAACCGTTCAGTGTCAAATTCTGTCTTCAGGAGGAGCATACACATTTATTTAGGCTCTTTTTCACAAGTGAACAAACGAATTTTACATTTCAACAGGTATTATTTCTCTTTTCTTTAATAAGCACCAATGAAAGCCATGGAGGGGCTATGAGAAAACATTCACAGATGGTTAAAAAAAAACCCTCAGGCGAAAGTTTGTTTCCCTTTGAGGCCATTTTTCATCCCTTTGTGGTTCTTTTACCTTTCTTTGCACCCCTTTGTGGCCATTTTGTGTCTTTTTCAACTGCATATTTATTAACAGCTAACTTCATGCTGTGTTTCCGGGCCTCCTGCTCCCAGGCCTGTGGCTGCCAGGTAGGCATCGGTCCACTAACCCACCCTTGCAGTACAATAACCAACCAGCTTCTCATCCATACAGTACGTGTGACCGCATTACACCAGACAACAGGGGAGTTCATTCACAAAAGCTGCTCGCGTCGACCCCATTTCCTCACTGACCTCAGACTCCTGAAATTCCTCACTCCCCCCCTGTCTCCTATTTAGACTGGGGGGCACCCGGCCTGCCTCCCACATAATTTCAGCCTCTGCTGGGTTCGGAAAACAAACTGCACAAAGGCTTTTGTCAGCCGGCATTGAGATAGAGGAGGGTGGTGTTGGTGTGTCTGCCAAAGTTAGACGTCTGACAACTGACAATCCCAGGCTTTGTCTTACGCCGACCTGCTTATATGAGGCTTTCACTCGGTCTGCACACATAGCACTTTTATAGTCTTGTTGATTACTGAATGCACTTTACAGTATTTCAAGCATTCTCACATATATGCAGCACTTTCTCTGTCATACTTCACAAATTAGGGAGACTGTTATCAAACCGCCGACCCTCTGGTTAGTGGGCTACCCACTCTACCTCCTGAGTCACAGCCTCTTGTGATGGGTCATCTCTTATGTCTGTATGCTCTTACAAAAAGAAAGAAGTGATGCTAGTGTTTTAAATGGAAGTGCTGGAGTGAAGTGTTTACAGTGTGTGTGTGTGTGACTGGACACTTCAGCTGCTACTGTGTCATATGTGACACACACACACACACACGGATCCTACCAGTGACTCACCTCAACACTGACAACTTTCAGAAACCACAGATGTGCAGCAAAACACCCCTGTCCTTTATTCGTGTTTCCATAAAACCGGACATACTGTGATATTTTGGATGTTACTGCACAGGAGAATTTGAACCCTGCAGATGTTGGACCCCACTTTGCAGCAAAAAGCCTTCCAACATCTGGAGCACAGGAAATAAATCAAACGCACAAGCAATAACAATAATAAAAGGCCTCCACCCAAGGCCCTGGCTGCACCGTAGCATCCTCCACCGGATGTCTCTGCCTCCCCTCTCCCCCCTCCTCCTCACCTGTGTCTTGTCGGAACTGGTGCATGGAATGCAAATCGATGATGTAGGGCGAGAGGCGAGAGTCCACCTGGCCGAGGACGACGCTACCACAGCGCGGGTCGCTCCGGATGACTGCCTCGATGTGGTGACAGACAGCCGGGCTGTAGGGCCGCCAGCGTCCGTGCTCGTTCAGCCATTCCCAGACCACAACGGCGGACGCTAGTAACATCCTACTCCTGCGGATGCGAGAAAAATGATGCTGTTAATGTGTGATGGAGTGATGGATGATTTTTTTTTTACAGATCCCCTGCTGCCGCTCCGCCGTGCATCCGTGCGCACAGCGGCGCTGCATCCATCTTGGACAGTTTTCAACCCAGATGTGTCTCCTATCTCTGGATATAAATATATATATATATATATCGTGAGAGAGGGTGGGGGATGAGGGATGACACTACATGCAAACTGTACCTTCCATGTTTGTAGTTTCGGATGCGCAGCAATTAGTGGATCCCTTGATCACAAGCCGAGCACAGAGAGCGATAAGAAAAAAATAACAGCCTCGCAGGATGGTTGCATTTTACTCCCTATGCAGATGAGTGACGTGGACTGAAATCATTTCTCCGGCAACAATCAAGTTAGGCTGAGAGGAGCAAACGCAACTCTGATGCTCAGGCTGGTAAAGTGGGTTACTGTCACAGATCGTGCACATTTATATCAAACCCAATCAGCGGCGTGAGGATCAGATGGATATTTACCGGGTCAGATCAGCTCCAGTGTTTTTAATGATCCATCCTCGGCTCCCTCACTCCAGGTGAAACTCCCCGGTCCTCCTCGGCTCCATCTTTGCTCCTGGTCGCTCGGGCTCCTCCGCTCCACACCGATGGCTCCTCTTGTCCACAGCTGGAAATCATTCAACCGGCGGAAAAATAAAAAAAAATCCGTGACACCCGCGTGCGCGAACACGCCCACGCCTCGGCCGCCTCCGACATCCAATCAGATTCGGGCCAGAGCTCCGTTCGGCCAATGGAGGAGGGACTGTCATGTGTACACAGACACACACACAGACACACACACACACATACACGTCTGCTCGTTGTTGAAACATCACGAGTGTGTTCAGGGAGTTGATCGTGTTCGTTGAAACAATCACATGAAAAACACTTCTCGTGATGTGCGTTTTAATCTGAAAAGGAAAAAGAAATGGAGATGCCGGGGATTGAACCCGGGACCTCATACATGCGAAGCACGCGCTCTACCACTGAGCTACATCCCCATTGGCTGACAGAGGGCTGCCAAATTTGCTATATAATTGAATTAGTGTAAAAAGTTGTAGAAAATATTATCTTGTTGTTATATACTTTTTATATACAGTCTAGCGTGGTTACTACAATTGTGTGATGTTGAGTGTGATTTTTACACAGGCTACTAATTGTAAATGCCTCATTATAGATTTGTATAGTATGGTAGTTGAAATGAGCTCAGTATTCTTCATGTGCAAATGCATCATGTGATAAAATACCATTTTAAACAAATCAAAAATAATATGTTTTTGTATTTTTACTTTTGATTCTTCAAAATACTTTTAACTGTAGTTTTGCAGAAAGTTACTTTTACCACAGTAGAAGAATGAGAGACAATTGGAAATGTCATTAAACAGCTCGGCCAGATCCACAATTATTTACCTGTATGTTGACACCTTCAGTTCATATGTTGTATATATATATATATATATATATATATATATATATATATATATATATATATACAGTACAGGCAATATATGATTGTTGTTGTAGGTTTTGCAAAGGCAACATTTTTTTTAACACATATAAAGCGTGAAGTATAACCCTCGGCCCCCGCCAAAATATTCTTTTCACTTTCACATCTGCATTTTCAATAAAGTTCCTATCATTGTTCTGTCATGTGGGTAATCAATGAACTTAAGTAAAAGAAGAACATGTTGAAGTCTGTCTGTATTATTTTATTTCCAAAAAAGCATTTGAAGCAGTTAAAGATGTACTACACTCCACAACGTACTGCATTACGAAGGCTGACATAACAATGCAAAATCTGATTTCTTAACAGACTGAGTCAGTTTTACAAAATAAAACACAATATTCTTAAACAAACTGTGTACATCTGTATATTTATACCAGCTTCATTCACCAGTCAGCTTTTTATTTTGATGCTGCAACAGGAAGTGTCTGTAACTAAAAGCAAACCCATAGTGGATGTTTTATAGGCTGATTGCAGTATTTATTATTATTTTTTCCAGAAAGGATAAGCATTTCTATTACATTTTCCTCAGCCTTCTTTGTATTTATACACTGAAAAAGGAAAATTGCTGACCAAGTTAAATAGAAACAGGCCACTTCAATTGGTAACATGAGTTAAGTTTGTGTAAATGAACGTTTATAAGTTATATTAACGCAGTCGAATCATAATTTGAAAAACTAATTTGTGGAGAACCCACTGAAGTAGTTTTATGAGCTGGTAAAAGATCTTCTTTGATCAGTGCACCTCCTTCTTCTGTACTCACAGAGAAGTCACCTCCCTCTCCATTTTCTCCTCTTCAGACCAGATCGCACTTCCAGAAAACTGCTTCAGGTCAATCAGCAATCCCGACTCTCCTCTTCCCTCTCCTTTACTCTTCACTTCCTCCTCCTTTTCCTCCCTTTTAACCTCCATCTCCACATTTGCCTTTCGCTGACCCGTCAGCCTAGTTCCCTCCCCTGCCTTTGAACCCACTGAGCTTGAGGTACAATGTGAGGTGTTATCGCCTTTTCCCTGCTCCATATTATCTTCCTCATCCTCCTCCTGGCTGCTCCCTTCGCTGTCACTCCCCTGGCAACCCCCCTCCACCAACTGTCCCTCCTCATCTCTGACCTCCTGCATTTCCTCCTCTTCCTCATTTGAATCACTGCGAATCAATCCGAGACCGGTCCCAAGAGCTAGTGCTGCAGCCCTCCCCTGGTCCATGATCCATCCTTTCTTATGCCACATGCGGCGGATGGTGTATTCTCCATTACTCTCCTTGTTCAGCTTCTTGTAGAAGTAGAACAGTAATACCATCAGGCCTACTAGGCAGAAACAAAGGATTATGATAGTCTTATTGGTTTGTGATCTATCATACACAGTAGAGTCAACCATGCCTGAAATGAAGACAGAAAAAATGTTTGTTAGGAGTTAAAATGTCACATATTCAGTGCTTGGATTTCATCACTTCAATTATTTTTCAGGTTTTCACATACAATCTTATGCAGAGAGTTTGGACCAAGTCAAAAAAAAAAATCCTCTGAGTTTTAGTAAACTGTTAATCACACAGTACTGAGTCAGATTGGATTCAGAAATGTACCGCACCTCTTTCGCAAATTCTCTGTCAAGTAGAAAAGTCCCACTGGCTTGGTGTCTCAGTTCAAGGCTGGTTTTTGCCTTCAACTCGGGCAAATTTACATCCGGGATCTAGAAAAGAAAGTAAAGTTAATGATAATACATATCAAATATAGCCTGAATACGTCACAAATTATGTGGGAGAGTAAATATTAATATACATACATATTCTGGAGATATAACAAGAAGTCTGTGTGAACTTTATCTCTGCCTGCATGCATGTGGAATGACAGGAAACTAGCAGAGCGCTCACAGCATCGCTCGTTTCCTGTCAAAATTATAATTAAACAGCATCAGTCAGCTAAGTGTGGAAGAAAACTTTTTTCAGTCATGGTTCAGTGACTGTACTAAGATACATAAAGTACTGCAAAAACAAGTTTTAAAATACTAATAGGAGATGAAGTAAGATCACTGAACATGCACTTAGAGCTGAAAAGTATGAGGGTAACTGACCTAAGTGGTAAATTAATGCCTGTAAGGCTGTAATCATAAAACCATCTTACATGTACATTAAGTAATGGTTCAAGAGTTTAAAATGTGAAATATTAAGATTATGCATATGGAGTTTTAATTGTAGAGAGGTATTTAGTATTTAGACTATTTAGATAAGAAGAAAATGTACAAAACTATTGTTAAGAATTATTAAAACAGAAGAAAGTAAATTGTGAAATACTCACTGAAGTCGAGAGCGGGAGATAAAGTTTGTGCAGCCAAATGTGTAGAAGAGTCAGGAACTGAGTGGTGACACAGTAGAAGTGTGAGAGACAGAGAGAGAGAGAGAGTGTGTGCATGAGATGTGGTGAGGGGTCTGAAACTCTGTAGATGGTGGAAGGTGAGTGCAAAAGGCATCGAGAACAGATTGAAGACAAAAAATCAAGCAGCAATTTTGACTATTCATGGAAATAGTCTTTTGTCACTTTCAGTGTAGATTATTACGCAACATATTCTGAGTACATATACACATTTTTACTTGATTTCATGTGTAATGAACATAATACAATGGTTTCCTGTGACACGTGAAGGATGCACTGTCATTTTTTTAAATGGGTTGTAGTATCAGCTCATTATAGGGGAGCAGAAGAGAAGGGGATGATGCCGGGGCATGTAAAATGTCAAATTCAAATAACCCCAAGAATTACAGCCTGCTCCAGATGATCATTTGATTTAGGCAGCATTTATCATGGTTGCAAAGATGAGAACCAATCAGAAGAACGCACAGAGTTCTAAAGCTGCATGCAGACTGTGAAACAAGTCAGCCACATCCTGTTTTCTGCTTCAGTGGCCACAGGCGCAGCCCCTAGCAAAGACGACTATCTGTATTTGCCACTGAGGGACCCAAAACACCCACGATTGTGTGGTGTGCAGAGCATGAGGCCTTTTTCATTTACAGTTGGAGAAGAACTGTGCAGTTTATATGAAAGGTTTTCTGCTGAGTCTAAAGAAACATTTTGGCGGCATCCAACGTTTGTAACGTCTCAGTGTGTTGTAGCTCTTTGTCAACAATCCAGATATTAACACACTTTATAAAACTACAAACAAGAGCAACATGGATTTGAAAACAGCTTGATAGTGAAGTGTAAAGTAAATCTGAGTGTCAGGTATTACTTATTATCTGTTGTGCTTAATATAGGTCTTATATTTCAAACCTTGTGTGAAACGTTTCACAACTTAAGCCCAATTCAGAAATCATCTTTATCTAATCATTTTATCCGAATGAACATTTGTGCATGAAGGTTTTGGTTGCTTCAGTACTTGATGAATGCAGTATTTGTATTTGTGTTTGCATACAGTTTGGCTAGTAAAGCAGCAACCACCTTACATTCAACTAATAAATAAATAAGTAAATAAAAAGCCACTTCATTTATACAAAGGAGGAATGAATATTTATTGAGCTTTCACAATGTAGTCTCATTTAAAATGCTACTGGTTTCACAATTAGTGTTAGGTCAGTGCAGACAGAAATATAAATCACAAGATAAGTAATGAATGGAAAAGCTTGATGTGGAATGTACCATTGTTGCACTATGACTGGCTGACTGACGAAGAAGTGCCTTTAAATGTAATGGCAAAAAAACACAAAACAAATACAAAACACCCCCCCCCCCAAAAAAAAAATCAGTTTCAACACCATTACAAATGCAAAATGTAGAAAATGGGTTAGAGTAACTTTTTGTAACGTTTCTTGTTGCTGCAAAACTGACGATTTGAATTTAGTGTGTTAACAGCGAGACTTCAACTCATGTTAGAGTTTTCATTTGAAAAAATGCTCAGGAGATGTCACGACTGACAAGTGTAAAAGAAGTTTAAGGGGCGAGCTTTTTTCTGCGTATTTTTTATCTTTACAAACTCACAAGCGGTACCTTTTCATCGACGACACGGAATTACACTACACATAAATATTAAGCTACGCTCTCATCAGCTAGCGTTCAAACACATCGCTCCTTCAAGGTCATGATTTGTTCGCCAGAAGATTTTCCTACCGTCAACCTCACACACAGCGTCCTACAAGTCAAACAAAAGCACAAGTCACGAGATGAGTTAATGATAGAGGGTCTGATTTGACATCACTGTTTAGCAGCTTTAACTACCTGATTAAATAGCCCTAATGGTTACATTTGTGAGCGCGTCAGAGAGGAAGAAAATCATATTAGAGGTACTTAATTGCTTTGCTATAGAATATGAACCTTCATTAGCTTGAATATAACGCTAGTTCCTAGCTTGTGTATTAATTTGAGGCAATGTGCCGGTGTAACTGCTTCATAAACCTTCAAAATGAACACACTGAATTTTGCAAAGCTCCAATATATGCACCACCAAATAGCTGCTACTACACTCCCTCATAAAACCAGACATTATTCCACTGTTAAATTTCGCTCTACGCAGATGACACCTGGTTCTCCGACCAACAATCTGGAAAACTTACAGAAACAAATTGCAGTTTTGTTTTCACTGCGATAGTTGACTTTAGCTGTAAGCCACTGTGAATCACAGTTGTACACTACATTCTCCCACTTACACAGCTTAAGGAAAAGTTGATTCTAGTAAGGCTATGGTCTATGGATTTCGAGGGAATGCCCTCTGAATGTAGTGAGTCTCCCGCGTCCTCATACGTCCCCATCGTCAATCCGAGCCAGCTGACGCTCCAGGAGCTCGATCCTCTGGCTCTGAGCGAGAACAACGGCCCGCAAAGCCTTCATTTCTGCCAACAGCTCATTCAGCACGTCATCCTGAGGAGAGAGAAGAGACAGAACATGTCAGGAAAATGACTCAGAGCATGAAAGACATGGGGTCAATGGGCCTCATGTAAGAAAGTGTTGGTGTACTTTCTCCTTCATATGGCGAGTTTGTCCGATTCAACAAACAAATCTACCTTCAAAAAAGTGTGTAAGTGACAGCTGCGTATGTTCATTCACGAAAATGGCATCACGGAGTGAAAAGAAGTTCAGAGGTTGAAGTCCTGATTTCAGAGACGCAGAGAGGACAGTCTAGACTTTTTCAGAAGTGGAATTAAGATACAGACAAAAGCAGCACCTTTACACCTTTACTTGACATAAAGAAGAAAAGTTTCGATATGAAAAACGCTTAAAAAAACATCTCTGGTCTGCATAACTTATGAACATATCTCTTCATAGGAACGGCTCTTCCATTAGGCCTGATATGTCTCATTCTATGGACTCACCTCTCTCTTTGGCCTCTCCACATTTCCATCTGTGTCTCTCACGGCTACTCGTGGCTGTGGTGCCTCTTCTTCCGGCTCCTTGGTGGGCGCAGGTGTGGGAGCTGCTGCGTTGCCTGAGGACGGCTGGGCAGCCCCGGCACCAGAGTCCTGTGAGGCGAGCTTGGGCTTGCTCCTGAGGGTGTCTCTGTGCTTGGATGGAGGGGCCGCGTACCCACCGCTCAGGGAGACCAACAGCGGCGGTGCGTCCTGCCCGGCGATCCATTTGTCAGCCAGGAGAGCTGGCTCCGAGCTGGCAGTGTCCGGATAAAGGTCTCCCTGAAAAAGATCCGACTGGGGAGGCAAGATAGAGACGGGGTGAATAAGTAAAGTGTATTAATTGTTATAATGACGTGCTCCAATTGTTAATGTCTTACCTTGCGAGGTACAGTCATAGAGACGGGTTCCACTTTTCTTTCATGCAGTTTGTAGAACCTACAAAAATGCAGGGAATTAGAAACCTTTTAAAGTGGTTAAATCACCTGTAATTCTATATTTACCCATGAATTTCAATGAGGTAGTGTTTCTACAGACTTTCAGACTTCCATATGATATCACTTATCACTTTTGTCTATATATTTTTATAAAGTAAATTGCTTTTCATATACACAAAGTAGTCCCAGTTAAGGTGAAACTTTTACTCATTGGATTTTCCTTCCAATCTTTACAAATGAAATCTTATCTCATGAATCAAATAAAGGCCTCATTCTGGCTTAGCTCAATGTCATTAATGAACCAATCAGACCATTGGAACGCCCTCCACCCCTCCAGGGTCTGTGTCGCTTTTTACCACATACACACTGACACAGCTTTTATCAGGATGTTTTGCATCTTGTGTCTTTTACTCAGCGTCACATTTTAACCCAAATTTGACCGAAACACTAGGAAGGAAAATATACATCTGACTAAATATACTGTACCTACCGGGCAATTTCACACTTGTTGACGTCCACGCCTCTTTTACTAAGAAAGCCCGCCCCTCGCTGCGGCTCCTTGCTGCTGTACAAGCTGAGGAAGTGAACATACGGGGATTCATCTGTCACCTCAAAATACCGGATGGTGCAGTCCCCCTGAAAACAAGAAGATAAAACAGAATGAAGATGAGTGCATCAAACTAAATATGACCAGCTGGGCGAATTTGTGTTTGAGCATATACCTTTCCACACAGGTAGACCATGTTGGTGTCAGGGTCGTAAAAGGGTAGAAGAACTCCATTACTCGTATCTATTTCTTGTACAGTCATTGGTTCTGAGAGATCTTTCTGTAAGACACAAATATTGATCCGATACTTATTATAAGTGCTTAATGTCCATCTAATGCATCCCAACCTTCACTAAACAAAGGGCAAACTATTTCCCACAAACAATGTAATTACTGGATGCAAGTAGTGCACATCAGAATTTTCTAATATTGATGTAATACCTCGGGGTGCTAGCGACCTACCATATCCCACAGTGCCATTTGTCTCTCACTCATACGACTGAAGCCTGTGGTCAGGATCTTCCCATCAGAGAGGAACACAGCTCTCATAGGTCTGCTACCGTCATGGACCTTCTCTCTGACCTGGCAAAGGAGAATGGAGCACAATGGGATTTCTTTACTGTCAGGATATGTGCACGCATGATGCGCAACTGTACAACCTCTGCAAATATTCACCTTGAGGACAGTGTTTCTCCGAGGGTCGATGACGCGCAGGGCCTTGTCTTTGCAGACGGTGCAGACAGCGCTGCCGTCCTTATTCCAGCTGACACTGTAGATCAGGTCTGGATGGGCGTCGCTCAGCTGGTACACGAGCTCCCCCGTCCCCACGTTCCACACACACATAACGTTATCACAGCCTGGGGAGAGAGAGCTGAAGAGCTGAGTACACAGGAAGGGAAAAATGTTCACCCTGACCATTACAGTTAAAGAAATTAGTTTAAGGTTCTTTACATGACTTTAAGTCAAAGTTCAGGAGGCAGGCAATTCAATTAAGTGCATGAATGCTGGATGAAGAACATAGAGGAGATGTCTGTCTGATATTTACTCTGGAGCGAGGACA